AATGTTGTATTAAAATTAAAGGCTACCTGTAGCACTTCTAAATCAGTGGGATATTTTTTTCCACATCAACAAAGTCAACATTTGGGGTTAAAGGGAGCATTGCCTACTAATATCTGACTACTTTCTCTGTAATAAACTCAGGACATACAAGCCTTTTTCACCTTGGAATGTGTGAAATTCTTACAAGAAACTCGGCTAATCTTATACCCACCTCCCATTTCGAGCATTCAGATGCCATTTTATTAAGAACCTTTTAATTATGGTAAAATATAAGTTAAATTTAAAGAAAGAAAAAATTAAATAGTTGTAAAAAGGAAAAGGGAAAAAGAAGAAAAAGATAAAAATATAATACAGAAAGAGAGGAAAAAAAATACATAAAGAAGTGACTTCCAAACTTCACAAGCAGCATAAGCAAATTTATTACCGGTAGCTCTTCGCCTTCTCTAAAGTTACAAAGACCAAAAATTCTCCTTTTCTGCTTTAGGGAATAATAAAAAAAACATACTTTATTCTGCCAGGGGTTAAGTGAAAAATGCTTGTGCGTCTGAGTTTATTATAGAGACAGTAGTCAGATATTAGTAGGCAATGCTCCTTTAACCCCAAATGTTGACTTTGTGGATGTGGAAAATATCCCACTGATTTGGATGTGCTACAAGTAGTCTTTAATACAACATTACTGGGGTATTTTCTGAAGGACATATTTAAAGCTTTCTAGTTGGCTTTATTTGTGTTTGGCTCAGCGTGTTATGAGAACTCGGCACTGTGATCCTTGGATCATGGATTATGTCCAACTGTGCTGAAGGAACTCAGCTATTGTCTCTCAGATTTACCCAGTGATGGTTTTGCTCTTCTGTTTATTTCAGGCATTGAATACTTTTCAAAGAATTGTAAAATAAAGTCATGCTCCCGCTCCTGATAATCACTTGGTCGTTACTATTTCTGGAAGCAGTATAATTTGTTATTAACTTAATCCAGGATGATGTTTTATCTTCCGAGTCTGGCGTTCACCCCTGAGATTTCCAACTGGGTCTACTCCCGAGCTTTTTGAGAGTTAACAAAAGTGACCTGGTGCTGCTATTTAGTTTGGCGGTTACATTTTTATCGCCGTTAGTATTATTAATAATGCAAATGCATTCCTGTATGTGAATGTTCTAATCTCCTGTGAGAACTGGAGCAGTTTGCAGTCAAAGGTCAGTGTTAAACTCTTGTACAAAACGAGTTAATAGTCTTTGGAGCATTCCTTGTGAGGCAAAATGAGGAGCAAAGAAAACATGTTTTTTTTCTGAGAGAAAAGGATTCAAACGCAATAATAATAATAATACCCATTCTTATATTAAACTCTGATCATCCAAGTAGAAAGATTATTCCACACGTTCAAATCATTGGTTATCATGTAGCCTGTCCCTCAGGAATGATGGAATATTGTGTGTAATGGGAAGTTCTGGAATTTGGCAGGGAAAAATGGTTGGCTCCTTATTTCCGTCAAACAGAATATAATAGTATTCATACTGTGCACACCAGCCTTTCCATGGGTGGTTAGATGCCTATAATGTATGGAAAATACCAGCATAGGAAAAAGCTCATCCGAATTTTGCAGAAGTAGAACTTAACCATGAAATGAATGTCAAGTCTGATTTAGTTACAAAAATACAAGCATACCCAGTATTGAACTGGAACAGATCCTAATGATCAGATGCTACATTATGTGAGTTGTCTAAAGCATGAACACAATGGAGAGCTGCTGCCATTCTCATGACAGATTTCTCTAGAGGCAGGAAGTGGACATGAATTTGGAGATGTATGAATGGGTTTGTTTTGCTTACGTTTTGGCAAAAACAGCCAGAAGGTGAAGAAGAAAAAAATTACTCTCCCATAGCTTTTTTTTCTTTCCCATTTTTTTCCCTATTAACATCAGGTATCAGTATGTTTTTTCCCCTCTGTGTCAAATGAGAGGAATTTGAATGGAATGCTTCAGAGAAGATTAACGTTCTTGGAAAGGGGGTTAGGATTAAATTTAAATGCTTTTAGTTGAAGAGAGGGGCTGTCTTCACATGTTAAACCCTAATGGGGTTTAACTTTTGGCTTGTATAAGCTGATAGATTGTGTTTTTAAACCATGTTTTAGGCAACCGTGAACTAACAGCAAACTACATTTAAACAAACTTTGCATGATGTGTGAACCAGATCATGAGAACAGGATCTTCATGTAGCAGTTCCACCATCAGCCACATCTAGCTTGGTCCTCTCGGGCCATATATCATGGCTGCAAGTGGCCCAGGGTTACCTTGGGTAGCCAGCAGGAGATGTCAGAACTGGAATCTCAGCTGAACAAGGCAGAAGGCTAATTTAGTGGATCACTGCTAAGGGAGAGGATTTGTACTTGATGTTCTGTGAAGGTCTTCTTCTTTGGAGAATTTTTGGATTTCTTTCAGGCTTCTTTCCCCCTTGTCCATAGCTGTTGCTCCCATGATAGCTTAGTTTCCCTGGATTTGGTTTGGGTTGGATATAACCTTTCAACAAGAACCTAAGATATTCATGTTCCTTGATTGTTGACTCTTTGTCGCGCAACAAAAAAATTGTTTAAGATGGATACCCTACAGTGGTTGAATTCTCTCACTGCTAAGCTGTAAACCATGTTTTATAATCGTGGGCTCTTGCAACTTGTTTTTTCAAACCCCGACATACTACAGGTGGGAACCCAGTCAGAATGGATTCAAAATCCATCATTTGGTATCGGCAATGTTGTGTCACCCAATGAACTGTGTTTATTCAATAACTTTTGATTAATCCCTTCATTGTATTTTCACATTCGACAAAGTGGGTAGAAGCCTTAACAACCTCTTTCCTCTTTTTCACTCATCCGTATTAAGTGCATATATTGTCACAGAAAGCACAAGTGATTTCTTTTTTCTATCATATGGCATTTGAGTAGCTCCTGAGGCACAGCTATATTTTCAAAGAACAAATGATACATAGAAAGCATGATTATTATTTTTTTTCTCTTGATAGTGTAGAAGCAATTGAAACATTTGTTCTCTGTAGACTGAAGGGCTTGTAAAATTGCAGTTAGCTGTTAATCATTCTTTTACCTTTAGAGGAATTTCAAATTAAAGCAAGGATTGAAAACCATTGAATGTCACAATGTTCCAGCTGAACAATAAAGTGGCTGAGGTTTTTAGGGGAGAAAATGGGTTGGATGCCATTGATCCGAGCTGGCTGGCATATGAATGGTGCTGAGAACCATTAAGTAGCATTAGATTAGATTAGATTAGATTAGATTAGATTAGATTAGATAACAATTACAATGTCACCATTGCTGCCTTATGGGGTATTTTGGACAGATTTCAGCTGAGGTACATCTGAGGGACTTCAGAGCTACAGACTGGATGAAAATTCCCCATAGCAAACTGCCATATGCATAAGATTATGCAGCAAATGGAATAATATAGATCAGCGGTTCTCAACCTATGGGTCATGACCCCATTTGGGGTCGATTGACCATTTCACGGGGTCGCCAAGCAAAGCTGTCCGCCATTTTTTTGTCCGCCATTTTTTTTTCTCCTTTTCCGGCAGGTGCCTTACCTCCCTTGGGCTGGGCCAGCTGGTGGTCGGCCTGCTCCATCTCTGCTGCTTGCCAGCTACGCCTCGGCCGATGCAGGGGGCAGAACCACGCATGCGCGGCGCTCCCGGGCAGGGAAAGTCCTCGACTTACAACCGGTTTAGTCCTCGACTTACGACCGGTTTAGTCCTCGACTTACGACCGGTTTAGTCCTCGACTTACGACCGGTTGGGGTCGTGGCATTAAAAAGGTTGAGAACCACTGATATAGATGATACTCTTGTTGGGACTTCCACCAAAATGGTATTTCTATGTTTTTATAGCTACATATGTCATAATCTGGTTTTATTGCATTCATGCAGTGCTTTCTGGTTTTGCCGTTGTATTATTTACTGCATATTATTATATATACTGTGTACTGCCTAAAATCCCCTTGAATTGAGCTAATGTATAAATGTAATATTTAACTCTGTGATTACGGGAGTTTGCTACCAAAATCCATGTGTCATGGAATTAAGCAGCAAAGAAGACCCATCAATTATAAAATCATAGCACAGAATGGAAATCCAAAGATCTTAGTTTCCAAAGTGATGCTCAGTGAAATATCTTACCATGATCCTCACAAGAAGATAGAAATGGGATTGCATATGACACTTCAATTGTATCCATCGGGGGTGCTCTCCAGATGCTTTTATTACATTATTATTATTATTATTATTATTATTATTATTATTATTATTATTATTATTATTATTATTATTATTATTATTATTATTATTATTATTATTATCTAAAGTTGCATGGTATGGGGAGATAACCTTGGAAAAAGCATCTAGAAACCACTAGAACAACAGAGACAGAAGAAGCACGTGCTAAGCCCAGGAAAGTTGGGAAAGTATTAGAAGAAGGCTTAGATCGGATTCTTCCTGATCCCCAGATGAAAAAGACACACGGAAGTGAAAACACAAGCAGACTTGCAAGATTGTGTTGCTGTAGCCTATCACCAAAAAGTTTCTGTCTAATCTTCCCGTAGAGTGAATTTCCTGATGTGTTATACCTTGTAGGGCTGACACATGAACAATCCTCAAGGATTCTAAGAGCTTTAGTCTAAACCTTGAAGGCATTGTGTTCCTAGTTCTGCCAGACACATTTACACAAAAGAAATCTCCAAACTTGTACTCCTAGGAAACAGGCTTTAGACAGTAGCCTTTTCAGTGCTGTGGTATTCTGCTGATACAATATTTTCTTTTCTTGTGATGTTTAATTAATTCCATGTCTTTCTTGGGCTTAAAAGTCAACACAGGCATATTTGTATATATATATATACGTATCCTAGGAAACATACTTGTGCTCAAATACCCGTTGTAGGGGGTGTTTTTGTCTTTGATTTGCTTTGTTTTTGCATCACAAAGAGGATTAAAATTTAAGATCTGTTGATTATAGGTGAAGGAAGCAATGCAAAGAATCCACGACAGAGGTAATATAGGAAAATTAATTCTGGATGTGGAGAAGTCACCTACTCCTTTGGTAAGTTACAAGAAGTAGCAGATTTCAAATCCTACATTGATCAATATGTGAATATGGAAGACACCACCTCCCCCTTTATTAGCCCCCCTAGGTGACCCGTTGGGTTATTGTTTCAGAGGTATTTTATTGCCAGATTCCTCAGTGCCTTCAACAATGGCAGAACTTCCAATGTTCTATCTTCACTGGGAAAGTTCTTAAATTTCATGGAGATATTCAGAGAAGTGACTATTTTGAAAATAGCCCACATTTAATTGTTAAACAACAGGAATTGACCATAGAAGAGGCTTTTTTACATTTGTATTCTATCATAAAGGTTTTAGGATAATGTTTATGTCATGAAATGTTCTATAAAGTTTGCAAAATTTCAATTCCACGAGAGTCATCAGTTTGGAATCCATTTGGAGATCTGCCAATTGGTGGGTCGTGCTTTTGCAAATCGCTGCTTGGATCCATCATTTCTCCTTTTACTCAACACACCTCGAAAATGGCACAACGTGTGCAAACCTGGATTGGTTGGGCATGGTGTGCGTGCGTAAGAGATGATGGTGATGTACTAAAAGGTCACTCCCAAAATTGTGGCACTCCATCCCTTTCAATCTTGTCTTTGCAGTTCTTGACAAAGTTTTGGTATGGTGATACCTCCGCCTTTAGGGTCTTCTCCATTATGCTTTGCACATTAGCCAGAGAATTATATTGACTGACGTGCATCCTTTGGCTTCTGTCTCATCCCCAGATGGCCAACGATAGCACAGAGACCAGCGAAGCTGCCGAAGAGGAAGAAGACCACGAGGGGGACAATGAGAACAAAGAGTGTATACCATTCATCCAACAGTAGTTGGAAAAGGTGGGGATGAGAGCTGGAAGAGTTGATAAAGCAGAAGAAGGGAAGACAACTGGGGAAACCCACTTTGTGCACCAGTGAACAAATGCTCTAGTACAGTGTGTGCTGTTTTGTTTTTCCTTTTGTCTGCAGTCAGCTGAGCTATCAGGTGTTGGTCATTGATGTTTTGAACTGAAGTGCCATTCTGACTTTCCCAGTATTATGACATTCCATCCTGTGGTCTCCAGTTTGCCTGTAAGAGTCTTGTTGAATACCTATCAAAAGCCTTATGATCATCTACAGTGATAGGAGACACAAACATCTTTCCGTGTTGGTTCCCGAGGCAAATTTTCAAGCCACTTTGATAGGGTTGAGATTGGTTGGTTTTGGAGAGAGGGAGGAGGTTAGGCTGTGTGGACAGTGTTGTAGTCCATATGTACAATAGTTGCAGACGTGCATAGCCTGGACTCTTATTGGCATTTTCTTCTCTTAAAACACAAGTATGCAATTTGTAGCCCAGACCAACCCCTACCTATTACCCAACTGTATTTAGGCAATTTTAAATTGAAATTGAAATTCAGTTTGATGTGGTAGTTAAAGCATCAGGCTAGAAACCAGGAAACTGTGAATTCTAGTTCCACTTTGGGCACCAAGCCACCCAAGTGACCTTGGATGGGCCAGTCGCTTTCTCTCAGCTCTAGGAACGAGGCAGTGGCAAACTACTTTTGAAAAACCTTGCCAAAAAGCCCCCTGCAGGGACTTGTCCAGGCAGTCTCTGAGAACTGGACACAGTTGAACAGAAGAAAAGCAAGTTAAAATTAGCGGTTTGGTAATATGGGGGGGATATGAACAGAAATCAAGCTATTTAAAATGTATTTAGAGTCATGAAAACAAAAGAAACACATTTAATGCTTGCTTTTTCTTTGGTGACACTTAACTTTTCTCTCTCCCCAGCCCTATGAAATGTTCCAATTGATCCACAGGCAAATGTTGTGCTCGTGCTTTATAATAGGTGGGAAAGTTAGTACAAATAGACCCTCTCTGTTGATAAACTGATACAAAGCCTTAAACCATTGTATAAGCTTGGGGTAGGCAACCTTGGCTCTTTTATGATTCATGGACTTCAACTCCCAGAATTCCTGAGCCAGCCATGCTGAGGGGAAAGGGAGAGGTTTCCAAGCTGAGCCATGCTGGCTCAGGAATTCTGGGAGTTGAAATCCACGAGTCATAGAAGAGCCAAGGTTGCCTACCTCTGGTATAGGCCAATGTTCTCCTTCATGATAAAAATATACTCATTAACTGCGCAATGATAGGATGAGCCCTGATAACTCCCATGTGCACATAAAGCCCTATCGTAGTATATATTTGGAGAACTGCCCATGAAGTATCAATAAATATGCATCTTCTCCTGTATGGGTGTAAAGAAGGAAAATCTTCCTTTGAATCACAAACTAAAGCTATCCTGGTAGGCAATTATCATTTTTTTTCCTGCTCTGTAAAGATCACACCATCTTTGTAAACAAATTCTTCTCATCTCTCAAGAAAATACCTCATGTGTACACTATTGTTTGGTATACAACGAAAGCAATCCTCAAGACATGCTAAGACACACTGATTTGTGTAACTATTACGGTAACTGTTAACGGTAATAATAGTGGTCAGACTCCGCCAATTATTTAAATTGGGTTCACTGAAAATATTGCCAACAAAATGTTTATAGTTGGTTTGCCTAAATTATATTATTGTACAAAGAAAATTCTTTGGAATGACTTTTCCTAAATGTTTGTTTAGCATCTTTTTTTTTTAGCATTGTTAAGCAAAACAGCACTCTTAATAATACTTAAAGGTAGCTCAAGAGTAACTATATCCACTCAACACATTTAAAGAAATATTAGTCTCTTAAAGCTATATCCAAATGCTGATGCTTTGTGTAAACCTTACGTGATTTTTGTCTCACTGTCATTTTTCTTACAGGCAAAGTACTTGATCTCATATCTTGTACTCACAGAGAACATAGATTTCCTATGTAGCTTTTGTGCTACTCACTTCATTAATCAAAGAAAATATTTGTCCAAATGTCTTGGAGAACCACTAACTTATTACTAACATCTTTCCTCAAAAGAAAGATGCATTTGGATTAACCTATTATTTTAAACATTCCAATTGTATTTTTCTATTTTTCAGAACGGAACAGTTGGGTTCTGTTGTGATCCTAAAATATTGACTTTGACAATAAGCCATTTTACAAAGATTATTCTGTCATTCCTCGAAGTTGTCAATCAACCAAACCATAGATGCAAACAAATCAATTAAGGATGATAAAAGCCCTAAGAAAGGAAGGGAGTGAGGTATCAAGTTGTTAGAATAATTTATCATTATTTATACACATCATTTAGTATAATTATATCAATTTTCAGAGCTGGAAGAAAATACAATGGCCACACTTGGCTGGGTGTGCAGTCCAATCAAATTTAATAGGAATTTTATAGCCATTAGTTTTTAGAAAGAAGAGGAAGTGCACTCTTGTCCATTCCTGCATTGTTACTTTCTCACCCTCTCAAATCTCCAGTTGTGTTCTTTTCCCGAAGTGCGAAAAAATGGCTTTAATGGTAGCAGAATATCTATACTAGTTTGGAATTGCAACAGTTTTGAGACTTGATCCAGAGCTAGACTGAGAAACAGATCCATTCAAATGATTGATTTGATTTTGAAACTTGGTCAGATTCGATGATTTGCGTTGACTCATAAAACCGACATGGGTTTTATTGAAATGTTTGGATCAAATAAGCAAATTGATTCAATTATTTTTTTAAAGCCATTTTTGCTGTCCACAAAAAAAAAAAAAAAAATCCAGATCGCTTCAAAAGGATCCAGTAAGATTTAAGCACCTGCCCAATGTATTTTTTAAAAGTCAGTTTGCTTTCAATATTGGATTGAATCACTTTCAGGTATAAACTTCAGATTGAATGTTTTCACAGTAGTAAAAAATGAACAGCTTTGATTGCCCTACTTTGGAATTTCAGGGGCAGAATTATAACCACACTGCTGTTTATACGAGCCTTCTCTAGTTATTCACTGCCCTGCCAAGAGATTTTATATCCATCATTAAAATAATATTCCTGCAGTGTTCTAATTCTATCATCAGCCTTCTCTTATTATCCAGGTATCTCTAGCAGTAGCAATGATGAATAATAGCTACTTTCTTCATGGATTAGTTTCAGCCCAGTTTTGAAAGCCATTTAAATTGCAATTGTTGCACATTCATGTACCATTCCATTTTTGTGACTCATAGCTTTTTTGCAGTAAATCAGTGTATCTCTGCTGAATGCCATCTCTTCAAGAATATAGAAGAAAGCAAAAAATAGATGGAATGAAAGGGACCATGTCAAACAAATGCCAATAGAATGCCATATTTTAGATGTGTTTTAATGGCAGCAGCCATTGCAAGCTTACCACTACAAAATTAATCAAATCAAACTTTGTTTTTGTCATTAATCAACATATCTCACTATCAAAAGTTGCCTTCGTCCAAGAAGATCAGCAGAGCCTTCACTTAAGTCCCTCTTCTAGACTTTGGAGAGCAGAGATGACGTTGGTAAACCCTCACTGAGTGGGCCAACCTTTTTGCATCATTGCGCCTGTCCAAATATTCATCTTCTTGTTTTTAATTCAATCCACAGCGATGCCCAGAAGAAAGCAATTGGAGAGAGCCAAGAATTGATCAAGCACCGTGGTAGCACAGTGGTTAGAATGCAGTATTGCAGACTAATTCAGTTCACTGCCAGGAGTTTGATCCCGATAGGCTCAAGGTTAACTCAAGTTTTCATCCTTCTGAAGTTGGTAAAACGAGGACCCAGATTGCTGGGGGCAATATGCTAACTCTCTAAATTGCTTAAAGAGGGCTGTAAAGCACTATGAAGTGGTATATAAGTCTAAGTGCAATTGCTAATCGTAGGCTCCTCGCTTAACCAAGGGCAAAGAGAGATGCATTAAAACTCCATCTTTTGACATGTTCACAAGTCAACCTTTTGAAAGGAAACATTTAGAAATAGGCAACGCTGCTTCTGATGGAAGAGAGATTCGTGTCCATTGCTAAATAGACTAACATTCAGATGAAACAGAGTTCAGGAGGGGGAGGGGAAGCTTTGCAATGTTTTCTGCACCATGCACATGGCTGAAATCAACACATAAATCCCTAAATCTCTGTAGATGTGTATCCTCCGTGATACATCATTCCTCACTCATTTATAATGTTATGTAATCCCCTAGGCCTACCTTTTAATCCATTGTCCATCAGTCTTCTATTGCAGAAAGAAAAATGCACTCCTACTGTCCTTTGTACAAGTTTGCACTTCTTGATGATGGCAAAGATATCCAGAAGGCAGCCAACCCAAAGCTGAAACCTTTAGCCAGCAATGCAAAATGTATTATTTGACCTGATTTTCATCTTGAGTGTTCCCCTCAGCAAAAAGGTTGATAAGGTTGAGTGTAATTTGAGAGACAGGAAGCCAGAAAGTTAATTGGTGTTAGATTAGCCTTGGTTCCCCCCACTCTTGTTTTAGAAATGTCGTGATAGCAGTAGAACATCTGTGATTCAGCTTGTTCCCAAGGTCCTCCTTTTGTGTTTGAAGGCCAAGGTCCACATGAAACATGCTACGTTTGCTCCTCTTCAGCTTTGATGTTGATAACGCAGACAAGTTGATCTCACTTTTAGTCCTGCAGCATTGCAAATATTGAAAGAAAGGGTGTGCATTTGCGGATCGTTTATTTGCTTAGAACTCTTAATTATGGAAATCACTTTAGGAACACAACTGTCCTTGGACGCATTCTTTTGAAACAATCCTGCACTTCTATTTTATGAGCTAGAGAGAAAGGCTTTAACTTCAAGTGGAATCAAAATAGCCTAACATTCATGCAAACTGCCAATGCCTGGGATCCACTGAATTCAATCTGATGTGCCTGAGGTTCACTGGATCTGGATTTTCTCCTGGGATTAGGTGAAAAGAGTCCAAAGCATTGGAAGCTCCCTCCAAACTCTTGGTTTACG